ATTTTGAATTTAAAACCAAAGATGTGCAAAGTAGCAGCAATAAAATCTAACAAAACTTAATCCGTTTTCCCTTAACCACACCAACAGGTTCTCTGTGTTTCACCAACCACACGGCCATATCTACACATAAACATCACACAAACATGAGCGTGGATCGCCGCGTTCCCTCCGTTATATAATCCTGTCCCGCTTTCTGAGAGCAATATTCTTGAAATAGTGTAATTTTGGACAGTATCTTTCTTAACCTGCCGCTCTGTAATGGTACTGAATGCAGGCCAGCAGCGATGTTGACGCCCCGAATGCCGGCACCGTTGACGCGCCTGGCTGAACCAAACGCGGCATCTATGTATTTATATCTATGAGCATCACAATCTCCAGCCGTAAACGTGAAGCGCGTTCAAATTCGGCAAGTAGTGGTGAATGTTTGTGGCAAACTTGTTTTCTACGAACAGTTAAATTTGAACAATTTTGTGTAAACATTTCATTTCGATGGTAACCCTTCGTCCAGCTGCCCTGTATGTTCGCAGAGAACTACCTCCTGAAACTGTTTGCGAGTGGTGGCAAATGTTAGCGGAGAACTCAAGGCAAAGAGAAAACTGTTTGCAACTCTTTGGCAACTTTGTCCTATGTTTGCCCAATTTGAGCGCACCGGTGGCTTCGACGTGAAGACGACGACGCAGCGTTTAAAACTATAAACGTTATCCGGAACGTAAAACAGGGTCGCTGTGAGTAACAGTTACTTGCTTCTCCGTTCCAACTCCATTAACTAATCCAGACGACATGCATTTCGAAACAGAAGTTGTTACAGCTCGGCTCACAACATGAAGTACGACGGCTTTTAACATTAACATTAGCTAACTTGCTCTCTAACACAGCCAAACTTATGGAGATGAATCTTCTTCACCCAGTGAAAAGATGTGTTTCCTCTTCAGATGCTTCAACATTGAGGAAGCTCCCGGAAAATCCAATCCAGCGCCTTTGTCTATTAAATTATTTCAGGCTTTACAGGGCGACTCGCAGCAGAGCACGCTCACCATATGTTGGCCTGTTTTAATTCTACTGACTCAGTAACGCCTCTTCTTTCCATCTTACATAGTGCAGCTTAAAATTACATTGAAAGTTATGAATGATTTTGCATTCTACTTAACTTACGACGTAACAAAGTTTGACTTCGACAGCAATGATATGTTGACTGGCAGATTCAGATATTTCAGACCAAAATCAGGGAGTTTGACCGCTCCTACGGAGACGTTGGAACAGAGACGTGTTTCCTCTTCAGATGCTCCAACATGGAGGATGTGCTTTCATGCCAGCTAAGATCGGCTTTACAAACAGCACAACTGACAACCTTTTCTTCTGAGTTTAGCGTGAAATGCTCCCACACTTCTTTTCATGAGGCTGTCCAGTAAGCGGTCAAACATTCCTAGTTAGCGCAAAAAGCATGCGTGATGATGTCACCAACTGATCGACTATTAAATAAACTACCAATTAATTGTTCACCGATTTTAGTCGACCAAGTCGATTAATCGTTGCACCCTAGTATCGATGTATCCCTGTCCTGTAACACTGCTTCTCTTTCTCCCGCTGTTGCTGTAATTTTCCACAGACAGACAAAGACGCTTTAAAGTACTTCAGGGTTAAGCGATACAGACAGCGAACGTCTCCAGAGAGTGACGCATCTCTTTGATAAAGGCCCTTGCAATTCCTTGAGCCAGATGAATGGTAGCTCACATAGATTTATGCATATAAACACAGGCAGATCTTCAGAGAGGAAACCCTATAATTTGGGCAGTTGTGCTCTCACTGCTCCGTCCCTCTGAGTGTCTTGGCGCACAGGATGAGGCATGGGCCTTGGGGCTGGCGTGAGATGTAGAGGCTGTTGCATAAGCAAGGGACTCTGCACTCTCATTCATCCTCTAAGCCCTGTTATCTGTGCCCCTCCTTTCACCTCTACAGGCAGGAAATAAATGATGAGAGCTATTTGCACATATCTTGGCGCCAGGGCTGAAAATAATATACATTCTTAAGTGGCAATTTTTGCCCTTACTGAATGAAATTCAGAGGCGTTTTGTATTAGGGATGTGCATCCTGACTAAATATGATATTCTATTATCCAGAATGAGAATCAGAACCTTTATTCGCTACAACCCAGGGGCCGTATTACAGAAAACTCTTATCTTTTTGTCTTAACTTAAGATCTGACAAGTTAGGTCACGTATTACAGAAGCAAATCTGATCTTAAGAATCTTATCTTATCTTACAGCATCTTTTCTTATCTTTCTTATCTAGGAAAGTTAGGAAATCTTAACTTATTTGATTGAAGTCGACAGTCAGCTGTTGTGTCTGTTACCTAGCAACATAACACAGCTGAAACGTAAACACGTAATCAAGTTAGTTAACGTTAGCTACCATTACTGATGTAAAGAAAAGGTCAAATAAAACGAAAGCGCGATAAACTGAAAGTTATGAATATTGTCTCAGCGCTTCCTGCTGTTTATCAGTCGCTGCTCCACAGTTTCAGTCTCCATTTCCCAAATGCTTTAGCCGAGCACGCTAACGTTATTCCTCCTAATAAACAGACACACGTTCAGCTCCGTCTCCTCATTATTCACCACCATCACTGTAATATTTCATCATCAACATCAACACACGAAGGTAATCAGAGGGACGGTGGAGATCGAGTCTGCAGCGTCTGGGGTTTTGAACGCTGTTAGGAAAAAAACTTGCAAGTCAAAGTCAAAGCAGCGTTTTCAGTGTAGATAAATGTGGCGTCATTATGCTGGTTATAGTGAACTGAGCTGCCTCTCACTGAATAAAACAATAGAAACAGACGGTTAAAACAGAAGTTAAGACGCTCTGGGGTTCATCACAGCACTGCTGTGTCTGATCCACTCAAACCAGCGCAACACACACTAACACACCACCACCACGTCAGTGTTACTGCAGTGCTGAGAATGATCCACCACCCAAATAGTACCTGCTCTGTGAGGGTCCATGGGGGTCCTGACCACTGAAGAACAGGGTAAAGGGGGCTAACAAAGTATGCAGAGAAACAGATGGACTACAGTCTGTAACTGTAGAAGTACAAAGTGCACCTATATAGTAAGTGGAGCTGATAAAATGGACAATGAGCGCAGAAACAAGGAGGTGGTCATAAGGAGGAATCTGGGGTTGAAATAATAATAAATCACAATTTTTTTCTTTTGGTGAACACTGAAAATGGGTCCCACAGACGTCAACACCACACAAGGGTTAAGGTGCTCTTGACTTGAATTTGTAACAAAAGTGACCCGGCAGTCTTCTCTGCACCCGCTTTGGGCTGCGCTAAAAACTTGTGTCCACCAACATACACATTGAGAGGCTAGTGCTAGCTGTGCATAACAAGCCTAGCCTAATCATCTGACTCTAAAGGCTAGATTTACCCTGCTTTCTTTCACCATTGTATACAGTCAACGCCCCAAAACGTTAAATAAACAGAAGAACCTTCTCAACACTTCAAAACTGCTTTCAAATTCCCGACTGAGTGTATAAAGGAGAAAGCATACACTGACAGCAGCTCTTGCCCTGAATAATGCAGAAGGTTGATGAGGGGAATAAAATCAGGATGCTGGAGGCTCTTAAAGCCCGAGCAGGCACAGCTCTGCCCTGGGGCAGGAGCTCAATTAGGAGGTTCAGACAGCAGAAAGCAGTCGGTACTTTCCTGTCCTGTCTTTTGTACTGACTGATTTGATTTGTTCCAAACTCTGCACTGCATTAATTAATTTATTCCTCTATCAGTCTGACCACTTGGCCGTCCTCAAGTACCAAACACAGAACCTGGCAGTCCTCAAATACCAAATATAATAAGAAATTAGGTTAAAAAACACAACATCTTTGTGATTTAAAGAGGCAATGCCCTACATTTTTCTTGTCCACTTATGGCAGTTACCAAAAACAGTAATAACTGTATGAACAGTATTTTTGGAAACTACAACATTGTTTACACGCTACATCAAGCTTATTTAAAGACATGCTGGGCACTCTGATTGAAATATAAACAGCATTACGTACACCCAATAATACACAATAACATTATTAACACCAACAATCAACAGAGACAGGGTTAAGATAAATTCTTAACTCGTGTATAAAGCAGTACAGTATGAGATGCGTGCAACAGTGAACACTCGCCAATGTGAAGTGTCTTTGGCTTTGTTCACACAGCAGGTAAAAGTGGCCCAAATCCAATCTTTTTCTCCATATGTGACACAGATGTGTCTTTGTGTCAGTGTGAACAGATAAACACACTGAATCTGACATTTTCAATTCCGATTTGAGACGCTTTCATATGTGGCACTGAAATCCGATACGTATCCAATCTGCGGGGATGCGACTCAGTCTGAACAGCCAGATTGGAATTCATGTGACTTTTACGTCAATCCAACGCGACATGCGTCATAATTTCGTGCTGCTGAGACTCAAACATTTAGACTGATGATTCTGTACCAAAAAATCAGAAGAGACTCATCAAACCGCTCCGTGTTTGAAGAGGTTTAGAAAGAAATGAGAAGACCGAGGCTGCAGCATCAAAAAAAAAGTTTAAAGAATCTGAGGACTCGAACCAAAGAAGTGGCCGAATAACGTGCACTTTTTACGGCGAACTCCAACACATTCTGGGTGACGAGTCCAGCTGTCAACCATTGGAACTTTATACTCGCTCCTGTGATGCTGGCGAAGACGAAACTGAAAGCTCCAGGAGTGACTGGAGTTCGCTGGCTGTCATACCTCTGGATGAGCCACGTAAAGCTCTGTTCTTTTGCGCATGCGGGTCGGTTTAGGAGCTGATCTGTTCAGACTGATGTCACATACAGATCACATTTAAAAGATAATGTGAACAGCCAAACAAAAACACCGGATTTGGTGAGAAAATCAGATTTGGGCCACTTTTACCTGCTGTGTAAACGTAGCCTTTGTAAACTGATTAGAATAGAAAAAAGATCTGATCATTTCTCACCAGTTACCTTGATACGGTGCCTATGGGCAGCATCCATAACGGCGGGCACCAGATCCTCAGTGGGCTCTCCGTGTTCGTCTGCCACGCCAGGTGGGTACCAGGACAGCACCACCACACCTAGCATTCCAGAAAACAGCGAAGATGTTAATTTCATCCATCGGGACTGTTATAATTACTCAATTAAGAATATAGGTTTTAAAAGTATGTATCCGAAGTAGGTACGCCAGATTTACCTCCTCTACGAATCAGCAGTGATTAGTGGGCAATGTGCAAGATAATTATGTGTATTTTACATTTTACTACTGCCCTCTCATACAGTAAGAAACACAGCCTGATGGACACATTCATTTATATGCACTTTTTTTTTACCATATATATCATATATATATATATTTTTTTTTTTTTGTAAGATTTTATAATAAATATTAGGTCTGCCAGTTAGGTCTCCTAAGGTGTCCAATTTAATTTTTTGAAAGATAAACCTTCAGTTTTCAGAATTAGTAAACTCTTGGGATTCTCTTTTCCAGTATGTGGACCTTGTCTACACACTTTTCAGTGACATACAGATCCACATTCTTAATACAACCCCATTTCCAAAAAAGTTGGCACGCTGTGCAAAATAAATAAAGTAAATAAAAACAAAATGCAATGATGTGCAAATCATTTAAACCCTATATTTCATTGAACATGCTTCAAAGACAAAATATCAAACGTTGAAACTGAGAAATTTTATTGTTTTTTGAAAAATATTTGCCCATTTTGAATTTGAAGACAACAACATGTTCCAAAAAAGTTGGGACGGGGGCAACACAGTGTTTAAAGTTGTGTAATACTAAAAAAACACCTGGTGGATGTATGGTCACCAGGTCAGTAACATCACAGTCTTTCAGAAGTAAAGATGAGAAAGACTCTGTGAAAGACTGCGCAGGAGAAAAGTGCAACAATTCAAGAAAAATGTTTCTCAACATAAAATAGCATATTCATGATGTTATAGGGGGCATTAGTGCACATGGCATGGGTGACCTGCACATCTGTGAAGGTACCATTAATGCTGAATGATATATACATGTTTTGGCAACATATGCTGCCATCCAGACGACGTCTTTTTCAGGAAAGGTCTTGCTTATTTCAGCAAGACAATGTAAAACCACATTTTGCATGTATTACAACAGCATTGCTCCGTATTAAAAGAGTCCGGGTGCTAAACTGACCTGCCTGCAGTCCAGACCTGTCACCAATGAAAACGTGGCGCATTATACAAAAATACAACAAATGAGCCCCTGAACTGTTGAGCAGCTGAAATCCTGTATCAAACAAGAACGGGAAAACATTTCACTTTCTAATCTACAGCAGTGTCTCCTCAGTTCCCAAACACTTACAGAGTGCTGTTAAAAGAGGAGGTGATGAAACACAGTGGTAAACAGGCCCCCGTCCCAACTTTTTTGGAACGTGTTGTTGGCATCAAATTCAAAATGGGTATATATTTTTCAAAAAACAATAAAATTTCTCAGTTTCAACATCTGATATGTCGTCTTTGTAGTATTTCCCTTTAAAAATATGGTTCACATGATTTGCACATCATTGCATTCTATTTTTATTTACATTCTGCACAGCGTCCCAACTTTTTTGGAAATGGGGCTGTATATAAAAAATGACAGAAACTCATTTTAGAAAGTCTGGTTTGAGAAAATTCATTTGTGCTCAGATAACATATAGACCAAGGAAAATCTATATTTAAAATATCTGATATGTACATTAATTTTCAATGGCCAATGCTGATGCAGATATTTAGAGAGCAGGGCCACTGATGGCCGATATACAACGCTGACATCATGTCACTGTTTTTGGTATCTGATAAAATACAACAATTTAATAATAATAATAAATAAAACAATATTACCAGACTTAAATTAACATGTATTTAACTCTATTATTGTCTGTATTGCCTGTACAATACCATAGTATTTATATTTAATAATTGCCACCAACGGTTTTGACTTGATTTGCTGTCATTTAGGATGAATGTTAACATTTAGAAAAGACGATGGTAACCAAGGAAATTTAAGCAAACGTTTAAATCATATGTCAAGTGGCTTCTAGCTAACATATAGTATCTGCACTTATGTGCGACTCTCTTAAGCGTGTCCGGTTGACCACTAAAGGAGTGACAATGACTTTTAAAGAAGCTTAAAGTACAGTAATGAAGGTTCTACACTAATTAAAGGTTTTCCTAGAACTGTACGTCCAAGGCAAGAACCATTTACAAAAGCCATAACAAAACAGTAGACAATTCACACTTCATTGTCAATAAAGGTATGAAATTGCTGTTGGATGAACGTCTAACAGCAATTTCATACCTTTATTGACAATGAAGTGTGAACTGTCTACTGTTTTGTTATGACACAAAAAACTCAGTGTTTACATGCACTCAATAATTTGATCATAATTGGATTTCTGCAGTCTGATTATTCAAAGGTTCATGTAAACACCATACTCCGATCTAGAAATCTGATAAAGATTTAGCTCAGTAATCAGATTTCTCAGTGCATGTAAACTCTTACTCTGATTTCTTTCGGATTTCTCAGTCTGCGCATGTGCAAAAACAGACTGCAGTACCAGAAATAAGCAAGGAGCACCGCCTTTTGGAGCGGGGCGCTGAAACCAAACACGAAATAAAGCTTTTAAATATTCTTGATCTTCTAGATGATGTATGTTCATATTTTCAGGTAAAGTTGCGCGATGTTTAAAAAGAAATGCGGCATGAAGTTTGTGTTTTATGTGTACGTCACGTCCGTGAGTTTATTGGTAAAGCAGAAATCTGATTACTGCCTAGACCCGGAGTTTCCCATTATCTGATTACTCAAATGCATGTAAATGTGTTGAACCTGCAGCAGCAGCTTCGATCTGGGCCATGTGCGACTCCAGGATGTGTGGATCTCTGGAGCTGTAGGGTCCAAGCTCAGGGTAGAAGCTGGAGGCGATGTCCTCGGGTGGACTGTGCCTGCCTTTGGGGTGACTGGCCGCTATTTTGGGGTCCCAGTGAGGAACCAGTACGTGATCCCAGTGGATGTAGCCCCTGTCCGTCTGAGGCGCACCGTACCACAGGTAGTAGAAGATATGGATGTCGTAGAAGATGCTGTGCTCGTGGCCGGAGTTGGAGAAGACGATTTTAGTGTCCGAAACGTCGCTCTCTGTCTCGGCTCGCCTCTCGGCTCTCTCGGCCGCGAACGGGGCCCTTTCCATCCCCGGAGCGAGGTCCGAGAAGCCGTCGCTGGGCTTGAGGGTCCGTAAGCCCATCATGGTCCCGAAGATGAAGAGAGTGAACAGGAAAAGAGCCACACAAGCTTTCTTGCGCAGCCTGCTCATTGCTGCAGGCTCGTGAAGACAACGTTCACGTAGACTAGGCTACTATGGCTTTCTGAAGCTTGTTTCAGTTAGCTTCGATTACAGGTATTCACATTTGTTGGCTACTTGGCCACATGGTCAGCTAGAGGTGGGCGATATGGCAAAATTATAGTATCACAATACTCAATGTCACAATATTTTCTCCGATATCCGATGAGTTGAATCAGCAAAAAAGCATCAGTAGTGGTACATTTAAGAAAACTGTGAATACAATGATTTTTAGTCAATATATGGCCATGAATATGGCCCCATGTTCAGCCAATGTGATTATAAACTCAGTCCAGATGATACAGTTTCCAACCCATTAAGCCAAACTCCATATCTGTATTAGTTCACATTCGTGAGAATTTACAAAAGAAAAATCAAAAGAGTATAAAATTACACCAATATACTCAGCCATTCATATGTTAAGTGGTTAATCTGACAGAAAACTCTCTCCACACGCCATTTAACCTCATGCATCTATTTGGAGATGCTTGTTGTAAATGATCTCCTCAGTGTTGTTTTCTGAGGAAAAATTGAATGCTATCAAGTCTTTTTAAATGGAAAAACGCCACAAAATATGTTAAACATAAAAGTTTATCAGTATATTCAGCCTTTCGCTTCATAAACGGTTATTCTGATAGAAAACTCTTCCCATGTATTTTGTAGATGTTCTCAGTGTTGTGTTGTTTCCTGAAAAACCTAATGCTAAGCTTTCTCGTCATGCGATTCGCGGGCTTATAAACCGAAAAAATCACCACAAAATACGAAATAACACCAGTATATTCACCCATTTCTTTGATAAACAGCTAATATGACAAAAAGTGGTTTGTTTACACGCAATTTATTCGTATTTATGGGCATTTTTATCGTGTTTGTTCAAAGCCCGCGAAAATGTTTACCTCAGAGTTGTGTTGTTTACTGAAAAACTAGCATTAGCTTTCTCGTCATAGGCGATACGCGGGTTTATGAAATGAGAATTATAACAAAAAATACGAAATAACACCGGTATATTCAGCCATTCATTTGATAAACGGATAATCTGACAGAAGGTGGCCTCCTTACACGCAGTTTTTCATACTTATGGACATTTTTTATCGTGTTTGCTCAAAGCCTGCAAAAATGTTTCAAGAGTTGTTTGTTTACTCAGGAGGACGCTAGCATGCTAGCTAACTAACGGTAAACTGGGCTCATCATCTGCCGGAATCGCTTCTCGCCCGTTAAATTCACCCAAATATCAAATATCAGTTCGCTTTTGTCGACCTCCATGCGAAGATAAGCTCCTACAACAGTCGTTGTAGTTTATTAGCCAGCAACCAGCTGAGGCTTGTCCATTTTGACTTCGCTTTTGAGCACAAATGTATCAGGGAAAACAGAACGTGAGTCAGCCGTACATGTAGGTTACGCGCTTAGCTTAGTGATGGGGAGTCGCTTCCAAAAGAGTCGATTCTTTGGCTCCAGCACGCCTGGGAGCCGGGGCCGACTCTTGGAGTGTCGAAATGCTTGGAGTCGACTCTTCGACTCCCGTGTTTTTTCGTTGTAATTGGCTCAAGGGACGTTTGTCAGCTGTAATCCTTTGTCAAAGCTGCCTAATATTACAGGGTATTATATACGAAATTCCATCATATCACTAATCGGTAGCTACTCAAACAACTACGTTTAGCGTGGTTTAATATCGGCTGTATCCCTTTTTCACCGTTCCAACGACAGGAGTTGAGAGTCGGAGTCGACTCCAGATGATCCGGATCACTATGCTTAACTAGTTTACTGTTTGCGCGGTGATGTGCGATTCCGTCGCTTCTCTCCTCCGGTTTGATGGAATTGACGTTTGACGAGCGAAATTTTCGATCATCCGCCTCACGAGGGTGTTCATAAACTCCTGTTTTGTCCCGATAAAACGGCATAATATCACGCGTTTAGCCGGATCGCTGTGCCATCGCATGCTCCAGCGCGTCCGTCACCGCTGCTTCTCCCGGCAGCCTCCGGCTGAAGGCAGCCTGTCATCCCCGCTCCTCTCTCTCATCCTCTTCCGCCGCTCCGGGCTTCACTCCGCACCACACCGATTAAACCGGTTCAACGGCAGCCGAGCTGTGCGGACTCCGTGCGGAAAGCGCAGCAGGGTCTGTTCGGGTCTCCTGTTGTATAAATCATGCGCGATATAAATCATGTTCTCCTCTCTCGGTGGAGGAGGAGGAGCTACAGACAGCCGCTGGTTGGTTGGGCGAGGAGCGCGCGTCCATTAAAGGGCAACTCCACCGAAAATCTGTGCAATGGTTAAAGGGGAACTTCATCGATTTTTCAAAATTAAGTCATTTGTCAAAAAAAGTCATTCAGACTGATTTGGTGTGAAATGCTCCGTTCGAGAGAAGCTGACAGAATCAGAATTGTTCACAGTGGTGGTGATAGGAACCAGACGTCTGAAGAGTTTAATGCTTCTTAAAGCTCCATTACATAATGTTTTACATTAAATACTTACGAATACTCAACCTGATACCTGAGACATTGTTTTGTGATAAGGTTTTGGCCTAAAACATATTTTAATCAGTTTATTTTAATCATGGTGGAGGGTATATGAAGGGTGTTCTAAGGCAAAATAGTCTCCAAAGAAACCTTTTTTTCAGATTTACTATATTTGCCCATCATCAACATTACATATAACAACTCAGAAGACTCGTGTAGGTTCACTGGTGGTTTTGGATGGTAAATAAAATGGCTATATTTGTGTTGTAGACATGGTGACTCCTGGTTCCTATCACCACCACTGTAAAGACATCTGATTCTCTACAATCAACCATTTCACACCAAACCACTCTGTTTACATTTCAGCCATTGGAATTCCCCTTTAACACTCACTTTTAGGAGTGTGATGCTCTGAAGAGGACATCCACCAACTTTGCAAAATTTCTGCATAATTCAGGGATCCAGATGTCATTCACAGTGTACTTCCTGCATGTACCTTTCCCCCATGAATGGATTTATAAACATATTTATATTTATTTATAAACATATGTTTTAGACCAAACTTTCTCAAAATTACTGTAAAAACAATGTGTCATGTATTCATAGCCTTTCAATTTAATAACTTGCTGTGAGGGAGCTTTTAGAGGTGGACGTCTGGTTCCTATCACCACCACTGTAAACAAATCTGACTCTAAGTTTCTCTAGAACAGAGCGTTTCACACCAAACCACTCTGAATGACTTTGTTTACATCTTAACCGTTTAATTATGCAGAAGTTATTTGAAAAAGTACTGGAATTCCCCTTTAAAATGTGTCAGATGTAAAAAATGTGATATTTTTACTGAATTATTGCCAAAAGAAGTAGATTAAAAGACAACAATGATGTAGATGTAAACGGTTTTATTTATTTTAGGGCAGCCAATCAGAACAGAGTGTGTCTATGAGGCCCTACACAGTGCAGCCAATATATCAGACCTTTACATATATCAGGCTTAAAGGCACAGGTGGTTTAATTCTAAGGAATAAAGAAATATTGGAAAATGGACATAAAATTGAATTCTGATGGTTATTTGGCTATTAAACCAACACAAACAGTCTAAAACCCATTGATTAAGTGGACAATTTACTATGATATGGGCCCTTTAATAGTCTTTATTTCAGAAGAAATGCTGGTGTTTACAAACTCTTGGACATAGACTTATATGGAAATGATGTACACACTCACATCGAGTAAATCCAAAGCTTCACTTTTCTCAGTGAACCTCAGACCTGCAGTAAAAAGAAAAACAAATATGGTCCAGTTTTCACAGCGTATGCAGGGCTGTATGTATGTGATGGCCTCCCACAGCTCTGATGGCACTGTGAGCTTTTGCATTTGAAATATTATCAGCTAAATTCATGATCCTGGTCCTCCTACATGGGATGGGATAAGCACTGATGGGATTGTTCTCGTGGGGGTGGTAATCGGTTTGCTTAACGTGGCGTGAAAAGACAGTGTTTGAACCCACGCCTGCAACCCCACAGACACCATGCTCAGCACTGAAGATCCCAAACTGTGAGGAATTGTGCAAATGCAGTTACTGAAACAGTTTACATTAAAAAACACTTTTGTTTTACATATTTTACTAAAATGCACTAGAATATATAAACCTGTTCCACAGAGTTCAACAATGCTGTGAAAGTGCTCGATTTCAAATTAGTAATGCATACAGTGCTGTGAAAAAGTATTCGCCCCACCTGATTCACTCTGTTTTTTATACTCATCACATTAAGGCCCAATCCCATTTCTTCTTTTTACTCCAACTGGTGGTTTTTGAGTGTCACCCTAACCCCTTGGAACTGAGTTACAAGGGGTAGTGGTTGAAATCTTCCCTCTGAAATGAGACCCTCAAATAAAAAGAGCGTTACTTCATTAACAGCTACTAGCGCTGCTCTGTAGGCAACCCTGCCAGTCTGCAGTGACAGCAGAGGAGGGTAAAGTTCAGCTCCTCACTGCTGGGCTTTAGTTACATTTAGGGCATATGATCTTCAAAGAGGGGGGGCAATTATTTACTTACAGTTTTTAAACATCTCAGTGTCACTGCTGGACTGAGAATAGTCCACCAACCAAAAATATCCAGCCAACAGTGTCCTCTGGGCAGCGTCCTGTGACCACTGATGAAGGACTAGAGGATGACCAACACAGAGCTATCGTCTCTGACTTTACATCTACAAGGAGGACTGACAAGGTAGGAGTGTCTAATAGAGTGGACAGTGAGTGGACACAGTGTTTAAAAACTCCAGCAGCACTGCTGTGTCTGATTCACTCAGACCAGCACAACACACACTAACACACCACCACCATATCAGTGTTACTGCAGTGCTGAGAATGATCCACCACCCAAATAGTACCTGCTCTGTGAGGGTCCATGGGGGTCCTGACCACTGAAGAACAGGGTAAAAGGGGGCTAACAAAGTATGCAGAGAAACAGATGGACTACAGTCTGTAACTGTAGAACTACAAAGTGCACCTATATAGTAAGTGGAGCTGATAAAATGGACAATGAGTGTAGAAACAAGGAGGTGGTCATAATGTTATGCCTGATCGTTGTACGTATTCAACAGGGCTGACAGTAATCAAGCATGCATATGTCTAGTTTAACGGATCCCAATCATCAACTAAATTTGGTTTATTGGTTAAGTAACTAAGAGGGCCATAACTTTTTCACACATGGTCAATGTATATGAATGGAGAGGCTGATTGAGTAAGTATGAAAAGTTGTCCATCAAAAAAATGGCACCATACGTATGTCCAAAAGTTTGTAGACACCTGCTGATCCAGCGTTTCTTCTGAAACGAAGGGTATTAATAGTGAGTTTGTCCCTCTTTGCTGCAGTAACAGCCTCTACTCTTCTGGGAAGGCTTTACACTAGATGTTGGAACATTGCTGTGAGGATTTGATTGAGGTCAGGTTCTAATGTTGGATGGTCAGTTCTGGATCACTCCAGCTCATCCCAAAGGTACTGGATGGAGCTCCATCACTCCAGAGAACACAGTCCCACTGCTCCACAGCCCAATGCTGGGGGGCTTAACACCCCTCTGGGCATGGTGACTTTAGGCTCATGTATGACTGCTCCAGAGCCCATCCCAATTTTCAATTTCGACTGAGAAACTATTATGAACGAGTTACGATGATAAATTTGTCTACATTTTTTCCCCCTTTTTTTTCTCTTAAGCAGCACTTCATAGCCTAAATGGTGTGGAGAGGCCTAAATCCACATTCATGCTTCAGTGAAATAACAACTAAAGTACAATTAAACGTACTTCCCAAAAACACCTCAAATCGGACTGTTGTTTTGGTCATGTGATGACGGTCATCTGGGTTTGAGGCCTAGCTGTTTGTACTTCTCTTATTGAAAACAATCTACTTTCCTTCGCTGGTCTTTATCACGTCCACGGTGATGTGGGGACATCTAGTGGTTTCCAAAATCCTCCGACAGCCACTCATAATCCCAGATACTTAAATCTGAATGATATTAGAGATTCACAGTTCGTGAGTTTTTATGTCCTATTCTGATTTCTTTACAAACAAATTTGCTGATTTTGAAAATAGCTAAACACATAAAACACAGTGAACTTTTCAAGAACTTTCTATCATCCAAAGTCACAATAAAGATCATATCATTTGCTCTTTAATGGGCCAAACAATGCTAACGCCAGCCACATAATTGGGGTTGCAATAAACAATGATCAGAATCAGTACATGGAACGAAAAACAAAACCAAAAACAAACAACCTCTTTCACAGAGTGTTGTGGAAAAGATGAAGCTGAGATTTGCCAGCTTCTTATTCAAATTTCTGTTACATTCAGGCACCAGTGCACCATCATGTGGTCACTGCTGCGTCTCTTAAGGTGCACCGCAAAAGTCAAATAAGAAGCTGGCAAATAAGAAGCCAATACAGAGCCCTGCTGGCGACATCCCACAGCAGTTTAGTGGCGCCCATTTATGCTGAATTCATAAGAAGTATTTCAGGCTGGACAGTCTTTCAGAACAGAGCTCATTTACATACATCAGCTTTAAAGACGCAACAAAAACAGCCTGTTTCATTCTAAGGGATAAAGCAAGGTTGGAAAATGTTCATGTAAAAATGAATTCTGATCGTTTTGGTACACAAATCCACATAAATGTTGACATCTGAGAGAAATAAAATAAAAAATGAGAAAAACGCTGAAGGTTCCTCAAATGCCATGAACATTCAGACTCCAAGTCTACTTGTATGTTGTTTTGTAAAATGCACACAAATTGTAGATGAAGACACACTCGTTTCTTTTGCTGTTCACTTTTATTGATAATTTTCCACAACATAAAAATCTCAGAAAATCACAGAATCTCTTTGAAGTGAAATTTGTAGTAAAGTGTGAAATATGTGAAACATTTGCACTGATTGGATGCAGGATATGCAGAATGCAGGTACATCGTGGTAAACTTTTCTGCCACATTATATGTAGTAACTCCAGAATTGTTGTCATCCTTAGTGAAGATGAGAAAAAAGGTTATGAAGTCTTTGTTCATCAGGTTGATCTTAAACTGAAATTATGAGAGGAATCTAATCTAGTCAGGAAAAAATATTCAAAGTAAAAACCCTAAAAATTGATAATGACAAAGTATTATTATCACTCTTGTGACTGAATGCAATCAACGTTCCA